CAACATGAAGGGGAATAACAGTCGTCACATGTTGGGTACTCACCACAGCCAGTCACTATGCTAATAACTGAGAAGGATTATCTAGCTAAATGCTCAAAACAACCCTATGCAGTAGGTACTATTATTATTTCCAGACTCCTTCATACCACATCAGGGTTCTGAACAGCTGCTCCAGACCCCTTGAGCATCAGGCTCCTCTCATTCATCGCACACAAATGTGAAGATATTTAGGTCTGGTGCATTTACATTGAAAAGCAGAAAACTGTTTCTGAATCTGTGCATTGATTTTTTGAAGACGGTGCTACAAACCGATTCAGCTTTCCTAAGGGTGTGAGAAAATTAAGAGTTTAGAAGAGAAAGGACTTTTTTTTCCTTGAAAAATCTAGAACAATTTGTCTTGTTTTTTGGTGGAAAATGGGTGGGTATTATGTTAAAACTGCAATTACACACAGATGCTTTAAGAGTGGGTCTAGATAACTGCATCTGAACTTCTAGCAAAGTAAAATATCCCTGGAAGCGATCTAATTTAACAAGCCCTCTGATTAGATGAAAAGCAGAGGCCCAGGGAGGCTGAAAGACTTTACTCAAATCATCCAGGGAGGAGCAAAGCCAGCCCTGAATCCCTGGTCTCCTAATTATTAATCCAGAAAGGCTTCCACTTCTCTTTTCTGCCACCAAGCCTTAAAACAGAAGACAACCCAGATGGGACAAACTAAACTGGAGAAACATAGCAATCTAATATTCATATAAACCATCAAGGCATCATTATCAAGTGCTTTTTCTTCTTCTAGACAGAGCAGTGCCCCCAGACTGAATGTATACCATGTAGTTCTGTGAAGATGATACCTCCTGACAATCTCTACCTCACATCCACCTTTATCACTCAGGTGGCACAGGTTTCCTTAAAAGTATTCATCCTGGCAGCAAGGAAGGTAAAAAGAAAATTGTCCTTTTCTACACACATTAGGAAACGATATGCATAAAACCACAAGGCAGATGTGAAATAACCAAGTCAAATTTTTCATCTGGGATTTGGCAAGTTTGCCAAACATTATGGTTTGCATCAACATCATGGTTAACAATATCACCAGATTATTTGCAAGACAGACATTACACACAAAGTAGATCACTCTTCTGCGGGAGGTGAAATGGGCATTTTCCAGGGTTGCTGCCAAATAATGGGAGTGTCACTTCCTATTCGCTTCCCTAACCTGGCTCTGAAATTGATTAAAAGAACAACCAGAAATTACCAGGAGAGGTCCTAAATCATCCATGCTGGACAACTGGCTTAAAAAACCTAAAGTGTAGTATGCTAAACAGTCAGAATATCCCTTCCAAATACCTTAGAAAGAGAAGAAAGAAGTTGCTAGTTCCAGTGACTTGCTATTCCCATAGAAAATTCTTTCTTTCTCCCCCTGAAAGTGGACACCGCAGACGTGCTTGCCAGCATCCTTACAGCCCTACCTCTGGTGTCATCACTTGGATCTTCCTCTGGAGACCACTCATCTCCCACTCTTGTGGTTCAGAGGAGGAGTGCCCCCATCCTGGTCCCTACCTTCCCAGGGTATTGGGGTGGGCCTCAGGCACCATTATGGCCAATCTGTAGATTCCAACCACCTGGCGGAATAGGCCAGGTTCTGGGATAGGCATGGGATCCAAGTGGAACATCTGAGATTCAGGAATCTGGGGGGATGGAATTATTGGGAAAGAGAAGTTGAATTGATAGCCTATACCTGCCCTGGGATGGATGGAGAAGCAGGGGAGCCACATGAAAAGAACCTGCCTGAAAATGAAACCAGAGAAGTAAAGCCAAGTACATAGGTCAGGAGGGAATGATGGGCAGAATCCTGATGACAAAGTATGAGCACCCAGATCCAGCCACACCTGACGTTAAATCAATCAATGCCCTGTTTCACTGAAGCTGCTTTAAATAGGGTTTCTGTCACACTTGCAACCAAAAGAGCCTTGCCTAACACACCCCTATGTATCCTTCAAAACCCAGTTTGTCACCTCCTCTGCTTGGCCTTTCCTGAGGATCCCATATTGAGAGGTGGCTATTTGTGCCTTTCCTGTGGCTACGAGTCTTTACAGTTACTTCTCTAATTTTTTCCTTTTTTTTTTCTTTTATCAAGATTCCTGGATCAGAGATAATACTTCTCTAATTGTACCTTTCATCAGTATTTTAATTATTAGACCTTCAGATTCAGGGCAGGGTAAATGTCTTACAAATCACTGAATTTCTAATCTTTGTCCAGTGCCTCAAATATAGTACCTACTCAATATATCTGTGCTCAGTTGAATTGGATTCTAAATGTTCTGTCAGTGAACACTGGACCCTTTATGGTCTCCCATTACCCTCAGAACAAAGTCCGAACTCTTTGCCACAGGCAGCCGGACCCTACAGGATGGATCCACTGGCCTCTCTCTGCTCAGCTCCTACCATGGCAGCTCTGTGCTTTTCTTTGAACCTGCCAAGCCTGTCCCCACTGGAGAGTCTTCCATTTACTGTTCCTTCTGCCAGGAAAGCCCTTCTTACAAATAATGCAGAAATTATTCCATATCATTCAGGGTTCTGCTCCTTATCTCCTTGTCAGAGAGCCTTGGTCAATTTTTTTTTTTTTTTTTTTTAGACAGAGTTTCACTCTTGTTACCCAGGCTGGAGTGCAATGGCGCGATCTCGGCTCACCGCAACCTCTGTCTCCTGGGTTCAGGCAATTCTCCTGCCTCAGCCTCCTGAGTAGCTGGGATTACAGGCACGCACCACCATGCCCAGCTAATTTTTTGTATTTTTAGTAGAGACGGGGTTTCACCATGTTGACCAGGATGGTCTTGATTTCTTGACCTCGTGATCCACCTGCCTCAGCCTCTTAAAGTGCTGGGATTACAGGCGTGAGCCACTGCGCCCGGCCTGAGCCTTGCTCAATCTTATCTGAAACCGCACCTCATTCACCCTCCAGCCCTTGCCCTGCTGCATCTCTTTCATGACACTTGTCACTGCCTGATGCTACAGTACCTAGCATGTATTTTAGTTATCACTGTCTACCTCTCGAGAATGTATGAGGGCAGGGATTTTTTTTGTTGTTATCCGGTGTTATTCACCATTGTATTCCTAGCACCTAGAACTGCACCTGTGTTCTCAAATGATTGGCTGGCACACATATTTTAAATGATCTTAAAAAGGATGCAGAAACAAGCCCTAAAATTGAAACCAACATAGACAAATGAATGTAATTGTGTATTAAATTTTAACATCATTGCCCTTAAAAAATAGAATTCTTATAACTTTTAAATACAGTACTTTGATTTTAAGCGTGTAGTGAGATACAATTTAAGCATAAAAATAATTGCAGCAAAAAATATCGAAAGTAATCTTGCTGTTTCTTGTTGGTAATGGTACTCAGGTAGTAATTCTGAAGCCTTTGGGCATATTGTGGGAGTAAGCAAAAGAGTAAACACGCTGATGCTATTAGGTACCACAGCCCTCGACGTGGGAGAAGGGTTAAGCAAACGCGAAACAGGGAAAAGAGAAGGCAACCTTGTGGCGTGGAATTAGAATTATGGGTATCAGTATGAGGTCATTTTGTTTCCTAGCTCTGCCCATGCACAAAGTCTAACAGCAATGACATCCCAGCAGCAAGGAGCCCACTTAGTGCTCAGGACTTGCTTTTTAAATACCATTCCCCATGAAAAAGAACCAGCATCCCATGAAGAAATGACTTATCCCAAGGCTAGGGCAGGGAAAGTACAAGAAGTACAGGATGCTCCTGGAACATACATTTGTGTCAAAAAGGAGGGACATGCTTGGAGGCTAATGGAGACCTGTCAAAAAGGCACAGGAGCCAGTTGAAGGGGTTCCTTGTGACCAAATTTAAAACACTAAAAGCATCAAAAACAATAACAAATTTTAACAGATCAAATATAAATAACAATCTGTGAGTCCAGAGTACTATTTTTAAAAGTAAGTAATAGGAGGAAAAGGGAAAAGTCTTCTCTAAGAAAGAATGCCAGAAAGATATTCACATAAAGATACATTAGAAAATCATTTTGGCTGGGCGTGGTGGCTCCCAGCTGTAATCCCAGCACTTTGGGAGGCTGAGGCAGGCAGATCACCTTAGGTCGGGAGTTTGAAATCAGCCTGACCAACATGGAGAAACCCCTTCTCTACTAAAAATACAAAATTGGCCAGGCGTGGTGGTGCATGCCTGTAATCCCAGCTACTCGGGAGGCTGATGCAGGAGAATCGCTTGAACCCAGGAGGTGGAGGTTGCAATGAGCCCAGATGGCACCATTGCACTCAAGCCTGGGCAACCAAAGCAAAACTCCGCCTCAAAAAAAAGAAAAAAAACAAAAAGAAAAGTCACCATTTTAGCCCCTCCCCCCACAGTGTAATAACTGATTCAGAAAGAGATTATCAGTGGATGCTAAAACTACTGGGTGGCATTTTTAGGAGGAAACAGTGTTCAAATGGTCTTGAATTATTAACAGAATCAGGTGCGTTTACAATGGCAAGATCTGGCAGATGCCACCTTGACAGAGTGATCCAGTTTAGCATCAGCAACAACCGGACAAACTGGCGTGTGCCTCCCGACGAGAGGCAACAAAGTACACACCATCTGTGTGGTGCTCCCGACCACATGTTCTGACGTAACCTAAGCACTGAGGAGAAAATCAGACAAATTCAAATACGGGACATTCTACAAGGCACCTGGCCTGGACTCTTCAAATCATCATTATGCATGATGAGCACAATAAACAAGGCAGGTGACTGAGACCACCTAGTGCACCCATGGTAACATGTGAGCGTGCAGTGAGCCCTGGGATTTAAAAAAATGTTATGAAGGATATTTTCATAATTGGGAGAATTTTGAATATAGGCTGAATCAATATTGATACATACATGTACATGTATATATGTATATAGATTTTAAATATGCAAACTACACTTATATCTCAGTTCTGATGATGTTTGAAGCACAGAAGGAAACATGACTTCTACTTACCTCCCCAGTGACATAAAAGTCGTTATCTTGAAATTCAGGAAATATTTGGAAAAACTGAATTAGTGCACTGCAAAAAGAACAACAACAACAATACGAATTAGAAAAATGATTCAGGATCTCTTCATGCTAGGATATCAAATCTAAGTCTTTGGCAATAGGTTTCACATTTGAAATAAGATACCACTCCGCTATGAGCTCCTGTTGGACATTTTATTTACACAATACGTGTGGGCTTACTTTGTGATAAGGAGAAGTTTGGATAAGTGGACATCACTACTCTGGGCATGTTTCCAAATCACCAAGTTACCAGTTTGGATCATGTAACTGTTGAGAGCACCCTGAGCAAATAACACAGGTTTCACATGTTACGTAGCAATTCTTGGAGGTAGTCCTGCAAACCGTGTAGTCCCATTAGCCCAGGTTTGTGAAGTAAGGGGGATCTTAGTTTCTTATCACCCCCCACTGTGGGGGACGCTAAACATTTCTGATGGAGCTCCCAGAATGTCAGCATTTTAATAACCAAAGAACAGAAAAACTGTAAGATGAATATAAATTAAGAGAAAAACAGGAAACAGCCACAGATATTGAAATAAATGTACAGTGGGCCTCTGGGCTAAAAAGAAAAGAAAAACACATTTACTAAAGAATGCCAATAGCCAGCTGCGCATGGTGGTTCACGTCTGTAATCCCAGCACTTTGGGAGGCCAAGGGGGGGATGGATCACCTGAGGTCAGGAGTTAGAGAGCAGCCCGGCCAACACAGTGAAACCCCATCTCTACTAAATATACAAAAATTAGCTGGGCCTGGTGGCACACGCCTGTAGCCCCAGCTACTCAGGAGGCGGAGGCAGGAGCATACCTTGACCCCGGGAGGCGGAGGTTGCAATAAGCCAAGATCACACCACTGAGTACTTCAGCCTGGGCAGCTGAGTGAGACTCTGTCTCAAATTAAAAAAGAATGCCAATAGCCACTTCAGTGATGAAATAGACTTCAACAGACTCAAGGAATGATTTCATAATAAGAAAACAGTGGATTTTTAAATGATTCTCTGCTTAAATGAAATATTTCAAAAAAAGAAAACAAAAACTTGTGAAACTCAGAAGCTCTGAGTGTTTTCACCCAGACTGCAGTGCCTGAGAGGCTGGGGGAGGTTTTTGGCTCAGCTTCCTGCTGAGAGACTAAAAGCCATGAACCATCCAGGGAAGATGAAACGCAAGGAGGCTCTGGAAACCCAGTAGGAAGGAAAAGTTCAAGGGTTACAAAGAGGCGAAATTGGGTCATTGCAATCACCATGATCCTAGCTATATTTAATTTTCAAAGGCTGCATAAAAACTCACCATGAAAACACTACTGCAGAGTTTCAGTTTATTTCTGTATTCATTATTTATAGTGGCCTTTGTAGCAACTAAATCTGAGATGCTGCATTTTATAGCTTCTATGTTTGTGCTGGCAATAAGAGGGCTTTAGAATGCAGATCAAAATAGACATCCATTCTCCACCCTTCCCTCTCCAACCTTCAGAATAAAAACTACTTCCTTTTCTTTCTTCCTCCTTGTTGGAATGGCTAATAGATAATTTAGTATAGTAAATCTCAGTTAAGCCTTTGGCTTTAGCTGAAAGCTTACTTCCTTGTAGTATTTGCTGGAGATTCATTAGGGTTGCTGGATTTAGCATGAAAACATAAGACATGCCTTAAACGTGAATTTCAGATAAATAACAAATAATGGTTTAGTACCAGTATGTCCCAAATACTGCATGGAACAGACTTACATTAAAATTTTATTTGTTGTTGATCTGAAATTCTAATTTAACTAGGTATTTTGTGTTTTATCTGACCAACTTAGGTGGAAATAATCCCCCAGGTTACCTCTATCTTGAAAATGGCAGGATTCTCTAGCTCAAGTTTCTAAGGCAAGGCTCCACTTCAAGAAGTTATCATCAAGTTTGTTTGTTTGTTTGTTTTTTGAGACGGAGTCGCCCAGGCTGTGGTGCAGTGGTGCCATCTCGGTTCACTGCAATCTCTGCCTCCCGGGTTCAAGCAATTTTCCTGCCTCAGCCTCCCGAGTAACTGGGACTACAGGTGTGCACCACCACACTCAGCTAATTTTTTTTGTATTTTTAGTAGAGATGGGGTTTCACCATGTTGGCCAGGATGGTCTTGATCTCCTGACCTCATGACCCGCCTGCCTCAGCCTCAAAGTGCTCGGATTACAGGTGTGACCCAACACCTGACCAGCATGGAGTTTTAATGTCACAGTTTTGATTTCACAGCCAAAAAATTGGCTATATTTTTTTTAAGCAAGCACTTGGTAGCTTGGTAGCACTCCCACTTCTTAAAAGAGAGTGAAGAATGAAAAAAGTTAATTTAGTAAATTAGATTTACATATGTTGTTTTCTCATTTAACAGTATCTTAGTCAAGAACTCTTCTTATTACATGGTAAGCATCTTCTAGAAAGTAGAATCTAGAATCATGCCCACATGAAATTTCAAATTTCAGAAGCAGAACTGCTAAGCATGTATCGTGTGTGTGCACATGTACACAACCCATGCATTTATTCAGGTACAAGAGCCACATGGCACAAGAAGCATGCCTCTTCCTGGCGGTTTCATTTGGCCATCTTGGCATTGTGTCAAGGACTTGTCTAATACACAGAATTTTAGTTAAGGGCTCTTTCCTGGCAGAAAGGTACATTAGAAGTCCACAAGGAGATTGCAAGGAAGAGTGACTAGGAGAAAATTATTCCTCAGATAGTTTTTCAAACAGGTTGGGTGGATGCAGGGCAGAACAGGTGAGTGGACTTGATCACGCACTGTAGACCCAAAGACAGCACTGCAACCTGGTCAGTTCTGATGGAGTCAGAAGCACAATCACAAACACAAGCAACATTCAGGATAATCGAGTTTCAGATGATGTAAGCAAAAGCTTTATACCAATAAAAGCCAGGCAAAGTGTACCTACCGTCACTGGCAGTGGACCTGAGGTAGGAGGTGGGACTCAACTACAGAGATGGGGCTTAGATGCTGGATCAAATTGAGGGCTAGCTAAGACAGGGCCCGAGCGGAAGCAGCTTTCTGTAAGACATGCCTACCAGTGGACCACATCAGTTTGCCATTGTGATGGCCATACGCAGGCATTATGACCCCTTTCCATGGCAATGACCCAAAGACCCAAAAGCTACTATCCCTTCCCTAGAAATTTCTGCATGAACCAACACTTAATCTGCATGTAATTAAAAGTGGGTTTAAATATGACTGCAAAATTGCCCTGAGCTGCTGCCGTGACTAGAAAGCACCCCTGCAGGAGCAGACATGGAGCTGTAACGCTGCCCCTTCAATAAAGCTGTTCTCTTCTACCTCCATCTCACCCTTGAATTCTTTCCTGGGCAAAGCCAAGAACCCTGGCAGGATAAGCCCCACTTTGGGGCTCACCTGCTCTGCACTAGACTGACACAAGGCCAGCAAGAGGAATCCTGGCACTGCTGCTCTGTTGGAGCATGTGCTGGGAGCCTCTTCTGCATTCATTCTACATTGAATGAGGCTGAGCCATGATCCTCTCCACTTGGCACAGGACACAGAGGCTTCTTATTTAGTATAGAAAGCCTGCTTCCTAGCTGTATTGCTATGAAGCTTTGTTTAGCAATCCTACATATAATTTCCCATTGCAAACCAACATGTAGGAGAAAACTATAGTAGCACTTCCATTTGGCTGCTAAGAAATTAACTATATGTCCACTACTAGACTAAGCACAAGGAGGGCAAGGGCTCTGGAGACTGCTTACTTCTGTCTCACCAGCACCAAGAGAAGCTGCTGGCACACAACAGGCAATCAGTAAACAGTGGCAGGAGAGTCACACCAGCTAGTATACTCCAAATCAAAGTTAGTAAATTTCATAATTTTTTAAACCAGAGAGGCATTGTGACTAGCATATTCCAAACAGGAAAAGAGGGAGAGAAAGTATTTTAATGTCTTGTTAGCGAAAAAGTTTTATTTCCAAACACAAAGAAAAGCACCATAAATGTGCACGGTAAATATCTCTTTAGGGTCCTACTGCTTACAGCCATGCACTATTAATAGTCAAAAAGAATGAGATTTCCAGAAAAAAAAGATGGTTTTCAAAAGGAGAAAATGAAAGCTCCACTGTCTAAACCTGTAGTAGCCCATTTGCAGGTTTAAAGCGACCTTCTTATTCCAAACACCCATCTGGAGAGCTGGAGAGAAGAATGTGGTCACAAAGGGAAATGAACAGTGTAAACTATAAAGGAAACAGCTGAAATCAGTTTTCTGCACTACCCCTGATTAGCTATTTTCCAGTTCTAAGAGCCTAAAGCAAAAAGAACTACAACACTATAAACAATGAACGCTTTGAAATAGATTCCCTTTACATGTCAGGCAAGAGGAGACAGACCACATGTCAGCAGTCGACATCCCCACACTGAGGGGCAACTGGAAGCTGTAACCATCTTTGGGGGAGGGGAAGGACAGACAGAAATGGCTTGGCAGAGATGCTCTGTCTTGGAAGGGGCCGATGCCTCTCTTCAATACAGAACCTCCGCCCTCGGGGCGTTTGCTAGTTAACCACTGAGATTGTTTGAATTTAAACCAAAGAGGGATGGGAGGTGGGGGCGGGGGGTTTCTAATCTGAAGAAAGAGAGCACACAGTGCCAAAGAGAGCCCTGGCCCTGACTCTGAGGAAGTCTGTGAGGACCACAGTCTGTGGAGGGGGGAGGAGGAGCTGCTGGGGGGACACCCCTAGAGGATCTTGGTGAATATATCCCTAGGACCCCACTGTACCTGGAAGCAGAAGCGTGGGGTCCTGGGCATCCCCCTGATCGAATTATGGAACATGTGGAAAATAAAAGTGGAGAAGACAACAGCCATATTCTTCTCTCAGTGGGCAGAGGGAGAGATCTTTGGGAAAGAAGCTAGGAAGTTCTACTTTCTTCTCCCCAACCCCGGCCACCTATCTGCCTCAGAGAGAAAGAAAAGTACAATGGAAAGCTTTTGTCAGAGATCAACAAACTCTGACTCCTATTAGATGCACTTTCTCGGCTTTGGGGATTGGTGGTAATTAACAGAGTGCTTAGTGGAGGTGTGAGGTAGGGACCTAGTTAACTCCTTCTGGCCACTAGGGTTCTTTTAGTAAATTATCATGATTCATAAAGCAGTGCCCTAGTGACCAGAAAGAATCTAGGACTTGGTCTCCAGTAATAATTTGTAGACTGGAAATATCTGACCAAATAAGAAAGGTCACTTGCTTTTTTAAAAATGCTAAAAACAGCAAAGATTAATATGAGTAAAAAAAGAAAGGGAGAAATTATATGGACACTGGCCAGACTTGCAACTTTACATTTCCCCTCCCTCCTTTTTTTTTTCTTTTTGCAAAAGGAAACTTTCATAAGATGAAGGGAGAAGACAAGAGACTAACAAGCTAAGTTTTCAAGCCTGGAAATGTCTTGAACTAGAAGCAGAAAGTAAAAAATTGCATCAAAAAGCCAAAAAAGAGGAATCCTGGGAAACAAAACAAACAAATACCTGAAAAGATGTCCCCTGCAAATGCAAAGTTAAATACAATTTTGAAAAACAAGCAGAAACCTTTCAGATGTCTGCCTGAAAGGTTTAAAAAATAATCCTTAATTGAAAAATTCTGCTGTGTGTGTGTAGATGTGAAAGTATCCTGAAATTATCTTCAGGAAGTGGACTGTAAGTCTCAGTCAATAATAATTAAAACACTAGAAGAATTTTCCTATTGAGATAGAAAAATTTTTGGTCTGAAGAAGACCAAGATAAAGGCAGAGCATTTCACCTGTATAAATCCCGTGCTACGTCATCCTCATTGACTGCATATCCATGGGTATCATCAGTAAAACTGAAGCCTGAGCCCACCTGCAGGAGAAATAAACAAGCAGGTATGAACAAAGAGAAACACACACCTTAGGGACCTGCAGAGAGGTCCCACACTGGAAGGTGAACTTTTTCCAAAGGACAAGATTTTTTTTTTTTTTTTTGCCATTGCCCCCATGCCTTTAGCCCTCCTCCCAGAAGGATCCTGAGTTCCACCTATTCTCTCCATCCCCCAAAGCCCAAAAAAACATCAACACAGAGCTTTGACCTGGGGTCAGTGACAGAGCTGTCCTGGTCCTCAGTGGAGACCCCGCCAGATGTTGATTTAAGAATGAAGAATTTGTCTTTCTCGTCCCCTGCTATGGTATCAAAAGATCAAAAGTTGTCTCCTCTCTGAGACCTGGAGAGTGCACTGCTCTGTCCTGCCAAGAAGAAATTCTCGGCTGGGCATGGTGGCTCACATCTGGAATCCCAGCACTTTGGGAGGCCGAGGCAGGTGGATCACTTGAGGTCAGGAGTTCGAGACCAGACTGGCCAACATGGTAAAACCCTGTCTCTACTAAAAATGTGAAAATTAGCCAGACACGATGGTGAGCCCTGTAATCCCAGCAATTTGGAAGGCTGAGACATAAGTATCACTTGAGCCTGGGAGGCAGAGGTTGCAGTGACCGAGATTATGCCACTGCACTGCAGCCTGGGCGACTGAGTAAGACTGCGTCTCCAAAAAAAATATGGCCATTAAGCCATATCCTCTTCCATAGATAAGGAGTTTAGGGTAATTAAGACTAATTTTAAATTAATATTTCATTATACCTAGAAGTTCATAGACAACTGAACTGTAAATCAAAAGCAGCAGCCACTATTTTTATGTTAACAATTTGCATAAGGAATGCACTCCCCATCTGGTATAAAGACTTTTGTGTTTTTGTTTTCCAAACATCCAAGGATGCTTAATTCATCTTTTCTTTAAATATACAGATATAGACTAGGAATATGGAAGCTTGCCAAAACAAGGTGGGGGAAGGAGCACGTTGACATTTTTTTCCCTTTTATTTGTGTTCTCTTTGGACCATCTGAATAGTGAGAGAAGTTAAAGATTTTAGTTAAGGGGGCAAAGATACTCCAACTCTGTAGAAGCTGACCCTAAGTTTCTCTCCTATTTTGCACCTTAAATAGGACCAATATCAGAAGGCCTCTCCAAGAAGAGCATCACTTTTTGTCCAGAGATGAAGGATTCTCCTAGTCTTAGTAAGTGAAGGAGGCTGGGTACACTGGCTCACACCTGTAATCTCAGCACTTTGGGAGGCTGAGGCAGGCAGATCACGAGGTCAGGAGTTCAAGACAAGCCTGGCCAACATGATGAAACCCCGCCTCTACTAAAAATATAAAAATTAGTGAGGCATGGTGGTACAAGCCTGTAATCCCAGCTACTCGGGAGGCTGAGGCAGGACAATCGCTTCAACCCAGGAGGTGGAGGTTGCAATGAGCCAAGATGGTGCCACTGCACTCCAGTCTGGGTGACAGAGCAAGATTCCATTTCAAAAAAATAAATATATAAAAAAATATAAGTGAAGGAGACCAGTTTCGACTTTTTGGATCTAGAACTCTATGTGAAAGATTAGAAGTTCTAACACTACATAATAATCCCTGATACAGGGAACCCATATTGTTAGTGAAAAGAAACAAATCCCTCCTTCTGGGTTATCTAATTCAGTGAAAAGGACATCTCATAGGATTAAAAATGAGGAACTTGGCCGGGCGCGGTGGCTCAAGCCTGTAATCCCAGCACTTTGGGAGGCCGAGGCGGGTGGATCACGAGGTCAAGAGATCGAGACCATCCTGGTCAACATGGTGAAACCCCGTCTCTACTAAAAATACAAAACATTAGCTGGGCATGGTGGCACGTGCCTGTAATCCCAGCTACTCAGGAGGTTGAGGCAGGAGAATTGCCTGAACCCAGGAGGCGGAGGTTGCGGTGAGCCGAGATCGCACCATTGCACTCCAGCCTGGGTAACAAGAGCGAAACTCCATCTCAAAAAAAAAAAAAAAAATGAGGAAATGGGCTAGGCATAGTGGCTCACACCTGTAATCCCAGCACTTTGGGAGGCCAAGCCTGGTGGATCACCTGAGGTCAGGAGTTTGAGACCAGCCTGGCCAATATGGTGAAACCCTGTCTCGACTAAAAATGCAAAAACCAGCCAGGTGTGGTGGCACATGCCTGTAATCCCAGCTATTTGGCAGGAAAATTGGCTTGAACCCAGGAGGCCAAGGTTGCAGTGAGCAAAGATTGCACCACTACACTCCAGCCTGGGCGACAGAGCGAGACTCCAAAAAACAAATGAAGAAATGAGAAAAAGCAGCAAGGAAAATTCCCAAACTCAGATATGATTATACATGTTAACAGAAAAGCTAAATCTCAAAACGGTTTTAATTTTACAGATTAAATTCTACTTTGAAAAGGAAAAACTAAATCTCAAAATGGTTTTAAGTTTGCAGATTATATTCTATTTTGAAAAGCAAAAACTAAATCTATTCTGTGAATGTACTTAACGTAAAAAGGAAAAAAGCAAAGACAGGAGAGGCAACACTGACGGCTCACAGGGTCGCCCCAGACTCACTGGATTGTCAATGTAAAGCATGGAGAGCGTGGTGGTCCAGGGGAAGTCTCTGTACTGCACTGTGAAAACAGAGAACAGGGATGAGACAGGGTCATGGACAAGCATTCCACCGAGGCCTCATGGAGATCAGAAGCCCAACACACCCCTGATCGTCGTGAACTGTTCCCGTCCCCTCTGACAGCACTTCACACTCATGGTGGGGAACAGGCACCTGCACCTTTTCCTTCCCCACTCCTCTCCTTCACTTGCCCCCAGCCCAGAGCATTTCTACTCCTGAGATAAAGCTTGGAAACAAAACCCCAGGAAGCTGGTTCATGAAGAAACACCCACCAACCACCTCTGCAATAATATCCATCTGTCCAACTAAATCAATCATCCTTAATGCTGGATCTCTTGAAGAGAACTACTTCAACAAAACTGGCACGTAAGCGTTTATACTGAGTCACAGATTGGCTCACACTCCAAATTCTGGCCCAGGGGAAGTAAGCAATCTTACCAAAATTAAAAAAAAAAAGAGATGAAGGCAAGCTTAGTGACAGCCAGATGTTGCTTTTTATCTTTCCTCCACCTCAGCCCCCACCTGTAACAGTCTCTTGCCTGCAAGTTATCAGATCATGTGTGCGACTGAAACATAAAGTGTTTAGTTCATGTGAGTAATTAGGAATATAACTCCACCCAGGAGTCCCATGCAAAGGGCTGTCCCAAATAGTAATAAATACCAACTGTTTTTGCAAACTCAGAATGCTTGAGTCAGCAGCAGACTACAAGAAAACAGATTAGAACTTTTCACCCAAATTTCAAGGGAGAAAGCAGACCAGTCAGGACACTCACCCCCGTGGCTCCTCCTCCTCTGATAGGCATTGCCAGAAAGTTGGGTTTTAATCATCTGGACTGGTGAAGCTATTCCTAGCGGTGCAGTGTTTACTCTAAATCAGTTTTGCAGCAGATGTAAGGCTCAGATGGAAGATTCTATAGGAAATATCGTGCAAGGGATACTTACTGGTCATGTTCTTTGTGACAACGTAAGGCCCGTGTTCCACAAAGAGTCCAAACAGGGATGAGCTTCCCGGCCCGCCCTGTAGCCAGAGAACTACTGGGGCATCTTCTGGCTGTATCTAGGGGAAACAGTAAAACCAGTGACCACACAGAGCACACACAAGTCAACTTACCCAAATCCTCTCTGTGTTACAGGGCTGTGACTAAATCCCACAAAACCTCCCAGACCTCAGTGACCACTCTCCACCAGTCTCCACTCTAGGCAAAGTACTGACCATCTTTAGTTGTCTGAATGAGGCTGTGCCTCGTATGCTGGTGTCTTTTTGTCATGCAGTCTTTTTCCACCAAGAGACCGAAAGCCCCTTCAACGTAGACGCTTGCCTTGTGCATGCTGCCAGACACCTAGCACACTGCCTAGGGCATGGTTATATTTTTTTAGCTGTTTAAATGCAAAAGGGGATTCTTGAGGACTTTTCCATTTAATGTGCATATTCCCAACAGAGGCACAACAAAGAATCCATTCTCATTGACACTTTCTCGTCTGCACTGAACGCCCAAATGCCCTTCTGATTTTATTCACTAAGAACATGTTCACAGGGACCACGACAATTTCATTCAACATGGTGGAAAATGAAGAAGAGCAGACAGGCCCCAGGGGCCTCTAGCTAATGCATGTAACAGTGATAAAACCCCGAACAAGGTACAGATTTATTTAGGAGATGTGGGAGACATGCACTAGAAAGGGCTATTGGCAGGGCTGCGATATTGGAAATGAGCTACTGGCAGTAGTGTCAATACCATCACCTTCAATGACAGAGACTTTTTCACCACTTCATTCACTGTGTATTTATGGAGCACCCATTATGGGCCAGGTACAGTGCTGGGAGCTGGGTACATAGAACAGTGAGTGAAGCAGAAAACGCATGTCCTCTCGGAACTTAGAATTGCATGGACAAAATAGGAAATAAATACGTAAAGAAATAAAGACAAGGCCAGCACTTTGGGAGGCCGGGCAAGTAACCTGAGGTCAGGAGCTCGAGACCAGCCTGGCAAACATGGCAAAACCCTGTCTCTACTGAAAACACACAAAAAAAATTGCTCTGCGTGGTGGTGGGTGCCAGTAATCCCAACTACATGGGAGGCTGAGGCAGGAGAATCGCTTGTACCCGAGAGGTGGAGGTTGCAGTGAGCAGAGATTGCACCATTGCACTTCAGCCTGGGCAACAAGAGCAAAATGCTGTCTGAAATAAATAAAAAAATAAATGAAGACAACGATTGGAGAGTGTAAAAGGAAATACGGGTGATTTAAGAGTCCGAGTCCCTGGAGGCTGAAAAGGAGAAGGTGATCAGCAAAGGCCTCAGTGAGGTCTGAGTGCTGCCCTGAGCCCTGAAAGCTGAAAGCTGAAAAGGATCCAGCAGGAGCAGAGCCAGGAAGCAGAGCTGTGCACCAGGCAAATGGAAAAGGAAACCCTCTCACTAGCACAGACCTAGAAGGGGAAGGAGGCACACTCCCCAGGCAAATCCTCCAGAATCACCTGGAAAAAGCTCTACTTGTCACCCCCATCTCGGCTTCCAGCAGGACCTAATGGTGGGCCCCAGCATGATGGTGGGGCTTGTTGGATGATTAGTCAGCAGGGATCCCGTAGCTTTAGCCCAAATGAAATCCTGCCACCTCTGACTTGGACTGGCTGTGCAGACAAATCAAGGTGCCACGGGAAGGTCTGAGTGGACACACCCCATCGACTTGGATGATGGGAGAAGGCTGAGGCAGAACGCAAGCCTGACTCGAGGTGATTGAGATGTCGCCGCCAAGACCTGCAGGAAGAGCTGAGCAGAGTTCTAACCATGGCTACAGAGTGCACAGAGGAGCTTCTCTTTCCCAGTCACCAAGAGCCTAATGCAGAGTCCTTCACAGCTCTGGAAAGGGGACCAGGGGACCTGCTACAACAGAGCTGCTTGTAGGAATGGCTGTGGGCTGGGGCGCACCCTTCCTATGAGGCGCCACCTCTCAGGCTCATTCTTGAGCGTTAAGAAATTAAGTGACGTAATTGACCAGGCACAGTGGCTCATGCCTGTAATCCTAGTTACTTGGGAGGCTGAGGCAGGAAAATCACTTGAACCCGGGAGGCAGAGGTCATGGTAAGCTGAGATCGCACCATTGCACTCCAGCCTGAGCAGCAAGGGCTAAACTCCATCTCCAAAAAAAAAAGAAAAAAAGAAAAAGAAATTAAGTGACGTAATTAAAGTCCTCGGAACAATGCCTCATGTATGATAAAAGCACAATAAATATAAATGATGATTATGACTAAGGAAACAAAAATGGTACAAGCCCAGAGTCCGACTGAGACCTCTGACGAGCAGGCCTGAAGCCCCAGGGGTCAGTGCAGTATTATATAACGAATAAGCATGGAAGCTCTTGCCCCAAACTGTTTGGATTCAAATCTAGTCTTTACTACCTACCAGAGTGTAACTTTGGGCAAGGTGCCTAAGCTCTCTGGACCTGTTTCCCCACCTATAAAAACGGGATCAATAACAGTGGCTACACTGCATGCTTGCTGGGAGGATTAAATGTATTCCTTTGCATAAAGCTGAGCTGAAGTGCAGTGGCATGATCTCAGCTCACTGCAACCTCTGCCTCCCAGGTTCAAGTGATTCTCTTGCCTCAGCCTCCTGAGTAGTTGGGATTATGGGCACCTACCACCATGCCCAGCTCATTTTTGTATTTTGAGTAGAGATGGGGGTTTCACCATATTGGCCAGGCTGGTCTCAAACTCCCAACCTCAGGGGATCCAACCACCTATGTGTCCTAAAGTACTGGGATTGCAGGCATGAGCCACTGTGCCCAGCCTCTGCTTTGACTTACAAAACAAAACCCTCATTCTGTTGACTTGCTCACGGACACTTGAGGCAGAAGGAGTAACTAGTGAAAAACTGCTCAGGGAAGTTGTGGGCTACAGGGGTAAGGAAAAACTACCACAGAGCCCACTTTCCTATTCTGTCATTTACAGATAGATTGCATTCAATCTAATTGTATGTGTTTTGTTTAAATAAGATTTTTACCTCCTTTCAGATCCACTCACCAGCACCGCCTTCCACTTGGATTCGCTCAGCAGTAGGAGCACATTGCACGTGTGAGAGATGGAAAAACAATGGAATCTGGGTGGAAGGTATTCCCCGCTCTTCCCAGCCTCCAGGGAACGTGAGATGTTGCGAGTCCACCGATTCCAGTGGACATCCAGCCCCACTTCCTTCCTAAACTACACGTGAGCTCCTAGACGCCATAGTGTGCTCATTAAACTATTTTGGAGAGCTCTACTCTTTTGGATAGTATTTTGATACTACTGTCTAGGCCCAAATCCCAGAGATTCCAATTCCATTGGTCCTTGGGGAGGAGGCCTCATCAGTCTTTCTCAAAAGCTCCCAGGTGGTTCAAATGTGTAGGCAGGGCTGAGGGTCTTAAGGTGGATGGAGAGTTTGCCCCGAGTATCCTAGGCCTCTGGTTTCCAGCCTGTCCTCCCCTATCCTCCCTTGGCCTTCCATGTCCCTTCCGGTGACCTGACACAATCAAGCAGACCTCTGGACTCTCAGAAAAATAGCCTGACCCTGAGAGGCCACACGACAAAGTCAAGTCAAACACCTCAGTGTCAAACATCTTTATTATGCAACTTTGAAGCACAGGACACTGCATTCTTGGAATGCTTCAATAACAAGATCTGTGTACACACCTCCAACCTCAGCTGACCTTGCTCTGGATTTACTTTCCTGGAGGAGGTGAGTGAAGTTCAACAGCCCTTGAAGAAGCCTGTTTTTAAAGAAAAGCCCATGCATACATTTTTCTACTTTGATGGGCTAATCAACCTGTGAACTAACATCACCCTTATCTGGAATGAAATGTAAAAGTCATACCTGGAAAATAAAGGTGTACGTACATGTTCAATGCCAAAAACCCAACAGTCAGTTGTGTCACAGCATGCAGACTTTTGTAATAATAATATAGCATCAAATGCCATGATATGCGGTACAATATTAATTATGGCCATAATAATGGCATGAGGTTATTGTGTGACAATCCTTAGGGTGATACAGTTAGCTCTCAATTACGAGAATGCAGCCCTTGCCCTACCCTCAAATTTGGAGAGAATAAAAGACTTCCTGAACAAAACCACACTGCAATACTTAAGACCGAATGAAGAAATGACTAATTCAGCTACAGCTTTACAAAATTCAGGACTTTAAAAACATTTATCATATTGACGTTTTAATTCAAGAGTGTATGAAGCAAGATAATTAATGCATTTAGTTTTTCAAAAGCTTTGAATTTTTTCTTAAAACTTTTTCCATTATAAGAATGGTACTTATTCTTAACTAAAGGATTTTTTTTTTAAGTGAAGGTATTTTTAAAAGTCCCTCTTACCCCACAAATTCTACTTCCTAGAGATGATCATGGAGACACTTATGTTTACTCTTCCAAATTTTTCTCCATGGTCCCCCCTCCACACATATATACGTATCGTAGCTATTACATATGCAATATACCTACACAGATTTCCAAAAATAAAACCAAGCTATACTCTATATATGCTGTATTCACTTAATATGTGAAGATCTCTTCATACCAGTACATACCATCATTTTTCTGAATAGTATGACACCCTATGAATTTACCACAGTGTATTAATTCATTTAACACATAACGCCAACTACTTACAGGGCACTGTCTAAGGCTGTGGATGCAGACCAACTCCTACCTATGAACAGGCAGAACACTTTTTAGTTATAAGCATGGATTCTGGAGCCAGCGTGCCCAGGTTTGCATTCCAGCTACGCTATTTTATAGCTGTGTGACCTTGGGCAAATTACTTAACTCTGCTGTGTTTCAGCATCCTCTTCTTGAATATACGAATACTATGCGTGTCTATCTCCTAAGGTTTCCATGCAGTTTTAGAGTGGACCTACGCACAGCACTTAGAACAGTGCCTGGCACATCTATTTAAGTATCAGCTCTGATGATTTTTCTGCTGGTGTGGGAAGACAATAAACAAGTAACTAACTAACTGAGCGATATGAAACAGAAACGGAGAGACACTAGATTAAGTACTTAAAGAAGGCTTCCGGTCAT